GATCTGTTGTTGTTGTTGTTGTTGTTGACGTGCGTTGTTGTTAAACTTATTGATGTATGTTGTTAAACGTTCGGAAAATGTCCATGTGCATTGTTGTTAAACGTTCGATCATTGTAAGATATGTGCATTATTGCAGAGTAATGAGCCCAAAAACACCACCCGCCGCCATGTACCGCTACCGCACAACACACGGCGTAAATCCAAGGAACGAGCCCAAAAAAATAAAACTGCGACGGTCATCCAGAAAAAAAACACACGCAACCTCCATCTCTCCCTACAAATCCGAACCCGCCGGGGATTTAAACCAATTAAGCCTACATGTACAACCAAAAACGCCGTCCATCCTCCTACCTCTCCCCATCCCCCCGCATGCCCTTCGGCAAGGTATCAGGGTAAAATGATGCCATCTCCTACCCAACTACGGGGTGTTCATCACCTTTGACTCAAGGAGCGTTAGCAGGGGGGCCGGCGACTGGTCGAGCCCGTTGTTGGACTGCGAGTAGGAGGAGGAGCCGGGGGCGTTGAACAGCCCGAAACGCTGCTGCTGCTGCTGCTGCTGCTGCTGCTGCTGCTGCTGCTGCTGCTGAGCGTAATCCCCGACCCCGGCTCCGCCTCCGCCGTTGGAGACCCCGTGTGAAGTGTCGCCAACGAACAGCGCACCCAGGAGGGCCTTGGCGTGCGAAACGTGAACCGGCTTTTCTGTAATTTCGTGACGAAGAGGCCGGGGGGGAGGGGGGTTCCGAGTGGTATAAATTTGAGCTGGTATGGTGGTACCGGCGGGGTGTGTGCACACAACGCAGCTTCCGACGGCACCTGGGGTGCGAAAAGCGCGTACCCGCGTTTCCTGCCGTACACACATCCAACTGCTAAGAGGGGCCGTATGTTTTATTTCTGAGACAAAGCACCACACCACCCACACATCCATGTACGACCACCAACACGCCCCCTTACAACTCGACCGAAAATCCGGGAAAAAAACACCCCCCACCCCCCTTAACCCCTCACGGTGCTTTGCGCTTGGTGATGTGTGAGTCTGGCCAGGTGAGAACCCGGCGTGCTCCGTCCCGGCTTTGCAAGGATGCGAGGTCAATGGTCTAACGACTACGGCATGCACGACTATGAGTACCCCCCCCCCTTAACCCGGCGTGCTCCGTCCCTGCTTTGCAGGGATGCGAGGTCAATCGTCTAACGACTACGGCATGCGCGGCAATGAGTACCCCCCCCCCCCCCTACCGCCACCTCCACAGGCATACGGTACATACGTACCTTCGCACGACGTCCGCAGGTCGATCGCAGCGGCCTTAAGCAGCCACGCCAGGCAGTGTCGCCCGAATGACGCCTCTGCCTTGGCCTCCGGCGGCGGCATCATCATCATCGACCGACCGCTGTCTGCGAGGGCAACCCTTAGAGCCTTGGAGGAGGAGGCGTGATTTCAACACACACAAGGAACGAGTGAGCCTTTTAGCAGGAAAAAACATTTCCAACTCTGTGGACGGGCGGCACAGATTTTGGGGTGAGTTTTAGCCGGCTCTCCCAAGGCGGTAGAGTTTTTTTGGGTGAGTTTTAGCAGGCGAGTCAGCGCACTTACGGGGGTACCCGTAGGAAACCGTTCAGATCTGGGTGAGCACGTTGCGTGGGGCGTTTGGGCCTTATGAAAGTGCCGCCTCGCCCGACGACAGGGAATCCAAACCCAAAACAGAGGATTCCTTGCAGAAAAACACTCGTGAATGGAATAAAAAAAAAGTCCTGCCGCACAGACGACAACAACCGCAACAACAAGAAACAGCAAAATATGAAAGGGAAAAAGCGCTTCAAGCGGCTATGTACCTTTGCGAAAAATAAACAACGCTTCGTCCTCGCGCCGAACCGCAAACTCTTCTTCAGCGAGGAAAACCGTACCAACATAAAATTCCGCAACGCGACCGATCGCCCCACAGCTACCGAGCAGCCACCCAACCCCGACGACAGAATCACGTCCATTTTTCGGTGTTCTGCCGATCGCTTTCTTTCTGAAGCAACGAAAGCACTGCATTGTAGATTAGCCCTGTCATAGATCGACGTTGTCGTAGATCAACCCTGTCGTAGATTGACGTTGTCGTAGATTAGCCCTGTAGTAGATCGACGTTGTCATAGATCCATACCGCAGACCGAAACCGCCGTATCGTGAGAGATCAAATCAAAAACACGCGCCTGAAGACACGCACGTACGTACTCGTGTCGCACTTAGGGTAATGCAATGAGTGTACCTGCGGGAAGAATGCCGCGTTGGAACTCCCCCCGGAGGGATGTCTGAGCCTGTTCAGCGCGGACACACGGGTGTCCTTGGAGGAGCAGAGCTTGTACAGAAGATGAGAACTGCTCATCGATGTCGTTGTCGTTGTCGTTGTCGTTGATTGTCGTAGTGGTTACGGGTGGGAAATGCGTACGGCCGAGGAAGGAAAGCACGGTAAGGTAAAATGAATGTATGTAGGTCGCTCAAAAACAAGATGACAACAACGAGTATACACCATTCTTTTTTTTGTTTCCCCATCATAATCAGCCTTACACGAAACGCCCAGCAAAACACACACACAAAACAACTACAATCTGTACCCGAGGCGTTACAAGCGCGTACGTAAAAGCGCCAAAGCCCCCTCTTCCTATGTACATATCCCCGAAAGAAAAGCGTAACGAGAGCACGAGGAGGGAAGGGGTGGCATGCAGCATGCAGCATGCAGTGCACAACCAACACACGCGAAAGAGACGAAATAGAGAGCAGGCCCAGCAGCCCACACGCACCACTTCTCCGCGAGACGAGGCTCTTGCTCCACCACCACGGGGCTCTGCAGCAGGCTCACTACGGCCTCCAGGCACACCGACGCCCTCGGCAACGCCGCCGCCGCTCCTCTCCCCCGCCCGGCAACGGCGGTGGTCGCGGAGGGGCCCACGAGGCCCAGGAGAAGGTGCGCGAGGTTCGGCCCCCGCTGCTCCACGTTCTCCAGGAGGAGGTCGAGGATGCACAGGCGTACCGTCCGAAGCTGGTGGCGGTGTTGGTCGGGTATGCACAAGTGGTAGCGGGGGTTTAGGCAACGCGGGTGCCAAAGGGGGGGCGTAATCATGTCTTAGCTGCTAGACCATTGACCGCACGGGAGTTGTCGTTGGCATGGAAGGGCTCAAAGTGGACTCAAAGGCAGGAAAATACGACCTAGAGAAGGCGGAGACAACTCCAAGGGTTGATCGGTGCACGAAGCGGCCGAGGGAGCGGGGCACCGACAGCAGCAACACACATGTGATCATGTGATCGACGACCCTCACCCTCTCCAAAAAGGACAAGGCACGCCGTTTGCGACCAAGTGACCAACGAAGCAACACGGACAGGGTGCTGCCATTGCTGCTGGCTGCCTCAAACGTTTAGCCGCGCGGTTGCTATCCTACCCCGCAGACACTTTCCAAACGGACACGTCCAATACACACAAAATTATACCGCGGACGAAATTCAACGGTGATCTCTGTCTGTCTCTGCGTGTCTCCCTCCTCCCCCCTCCTTCCCTCCCCCTTGTTTCTGCTTGCCGGCCTTTTGGCGTCCCCCCGGCCCCCCCCCCCCTCTCTCTTTCATCTCACCGCCCCCTCGTCGCCCCCCCAGTTACGCCCGCCCGTCCCGGCGCCGATGAGGGCCGCGTCGAGGGTCATGAAGTCTCCGTCGGCCTCCCCGTTGGGGGGGCACAGCATCCCCTCCAGAGAAGGGAGGTTATTGCCCCCCAGGCCGAGACCGTCGGCGGCGAGGCAGCACGTGTACGCCTCCGCCAGGGCGTTGCACTCACGAGGATCTGCCGACGAGGGTCGAGACAATCACGGCGCGGTTTGTATTGGAGATGGGTATGCCCGTGTTTGCGGGAAGGTGGGGGCGGGGGGGGGGGTTGCCCGCGTTGTTTACATGGTCACGCAACCATTGATTCACAAGCCACCTACTCTTTGCTCTTCGAGACAGAGCCCGCGCTCGTGTCCCCAGCCAACGTTCACGAGCACCCCCTCCGGGGGTGTTGCAATCCCAACCAAATCAACCCTTCGGACCAAAGCTAACTAAATGACGGGAAAATGAACGATATGTGGGGGACAGAGGATATGTCGGCAGTTTCGAAGGTGGTCCTTGCCCTTTCTGCTTCCGTATCTGCATCTGACGGAAAATGGTGTGGGACAACCCACACCCCAAATCCGTACCGTTCTACCGTGTAACAGTAAACAGCATCAGCGATAACAACCAACAAACCCCACAACAAACAATGCAACAACAACAACAACAACAACAACAACATCAACAACAACAACAACAAACAATGCAACAACAACAACGACAACAACAACAACAACAACATCAACAACAACAACAACATCAACAACAACAACAACAAACAATGCAACAACAACAACGACAACAACAACAACAACAACATCAACAACAACAACAACAACAACAACAACAACAACAACAACAACAACAACATCATCATCAACAACCATCACCGTCACCAACACCAACACCAACACCACAACCAACAACGCTAAAATTGGCGAGAACGTGCATGCGGGGAAAGTATTTCACTGGGCGGGGCTCACCGGACGCCATGAGCGTAGCCATCATGTTTCCGGCGGGGAGGTTTCGGCCGCAGGACAGGAGGACCGATGTCGACAGCAGAGGGATCACCATGTTCCCGTCGTACTCGATGTACCTTCAAGTACCACACACATCACACACATGAATAGACGAGAAATAGGGGAGACCGAGAGAGAGAGGGATAGAGAGAGACACCAAGAGAGAGAGAGAGAGAGAGAGACACCAAGAGAGAGAGAGAGAAAGAGAGAGGAAGGAGATGAGAACCAAAACAGGGGCGTTCTCACTTCGGGGGTTCGTTCGTGAGGCACGTACAAAACACAACATCGATCATCAGTGACAAAACATGCGCTGAAAAAAAAACCTGCTCAATTGAACCCCTCCCAATCCACTGAGCTAGCAGTACCCGCATACACAAGGACACTTGAGAAACACCACAATGAAGTAACAACGAAACAAGAAAACGTCGGCGATGGCGGGTGGTCCTAAATACTACTAGTCGGCAGTGCAGCGAGATAAGATACCACGCTCGTCCGTGCACACCAAAACAAAAATAATAACCTCAAGGAGACCAAGAAATTAATTTCCGCAAGAGAACACCATGCCCATGCCCCCCTTCAGAAAAAAAGACACACACACGCACTGAGACTGCAGCAATTTCATCAGCCAGGCGGGCAGATGCTAACAACCCAGACACACACACGCACACAAGAAGTGTTTTGTGTTTTCAACCGCACTAAGACTGACGTCTTTTCATTGGTCAGCCGGTTAGCGCGGGCAGATGCTAACAACCCAGACACACACACACACACACACACGCACCTGGCGACAACGGCGATCGTGTTCTGCTCCGAGAGCAGATTCCCGAGGTACGCCGGGGGCGCCAGCGTGCCCCCCCCC